GCTACCCTTAGCTCGTCACGAAGAGATGTCAGAGATCCAGCTCTTCGCTGAGCAAAGGCAAACTCAGCTCGATGCTTCGAGACAGTGTCTCCCATTTGGAGACGCCTGTCCCGCTCATGTTCGAGAATCGTTGCGTAACCCTTGCGTTACGCGATCAAAAGCTCTCGGGAACACACGGATCCCCATGATCGTGTGGGAGCGTCTTTCCTCCTCCTCCACCTCCATTAGAGGACTCTCGCGGTGGCCAGCTTTATCTAGTTGAGCAGCTGTTGAACCACCGCGACGTGAACAGACGTCGGACGATTATCTCGTCCGGTGGCGCGACTATCCCCCGTCCCGGGATACTTGGGAGCCCCCGCTCCCAACTGATGGTTGACGTACTGGGTCTGGTTGAGCAGTACGACGCGGCACATCCTGTGCCGCAGAAGGACCGCCGGAGAAAGTCTTCCCGGCACGGTCGTAAAGGGATTTCAGGTTGTCAATCCCTTCGTACATCTCACTAGAGATACGTACGCGCCACCACGGGCTGGTAAGGAGGTAAGCCTCCTTAGGTGCTCGTGCTGAGTTGTTCACACAACACGGGCACGAGTCTCCCCAAGAGAGACAGGGTAACCCACCCTCCATAGACAGACGATGCAGCTTGTAGCGTGCACCTTTCGGGGTTCGCTTTCCAAACTTATCACGAGCTTTGATAAGTTTGTCGTTCCAAACGTCACGACCTACATCCTCAAGGTTATGGATGTAGGCGTTCCACGCTTGAAGCAGTGAGGGACCATCACGCTTGTGATTCTCACTATACCATCGATGTCTAAAGAAAGCATCAATGAAGAAATCATTCTCAGCGCGATAGTTTTTCGCGCTGGGGTCAAGGTGATGGATCCTTGACGAATCGAACAATCGTGTTCGATAACGATTACTCGTCGTCGCCGACAGGTGATCCATGACAGATTTGGGAGGCATCCATGCCTTCTTCTCAGAAGCGAGACGCAACACGTTGCGGCCCCGCTCTTTTGTGACGTGCCGACAGAAGGACTGGCACCTCTTTGCGAAGTGGTGTCCATAGGAGAACCGACACCACTGTGAGCGCCCGAGTCTTGCGATATTTTGCCACGCTTGGCAGGCGGCGTGGTTTCAACCGCCTTGGATACGGATCCGTCTTCCGTATCAGGAGAGTATGAGATTCCGAGCTCATACTCTGTGAAGACATGAGTGTCTTCATGACCAGCGCCTGCATCACCAAGTGACACAAACTGGGTCGCTTCAGCAACCGATGAGACATCAGTTGCTGTGGTTTCTGCTTCGGCATCCGCACAGAGACGTGCGGACGCGCTCTCGGCGGCCTTGCTCGCGCACCGCATGAGCTTGTAAACCACGCGATGAACTGTTGGAAAGTGGACTCGGACCAACAAGTGCAAACCCTGTCCCAAATGATTTGGGACGAGTATTCATTTAGTCAATCAGTCACTAAAGTGATTGATGGTTAAGGGGGGGGTGATGTAACGGGGTGAATCAAAACATAACAATTTATAAGAAATTGTTAATAGAATATAACTATAAGAGTTATATTCTCAGAATATTGTCATAAGGACAAATATTCTGTAGCACTTACGAGTAGTTCCTAATTGGTTGATATAGGCCATTATATCAACCAACGAAGACGCGCCACGACAGACGCACGCAATGAGTGGTGAGCAGATAACTGATTTACACATCTGTATTTAGACATAGTTAGATGAAGATAAATAGTGATTTATTGCAGACATTAACTATACTAAATACAGTTCTACTTTTTACTTTAACCAAGTACTCGCTTCTTCTTACCGTCTTCCTCTGCACGTACGAGTGTACGTGAAATTACGAGGCACCGCTTTATTCTGTCATCAGAATAAGTAGCTTGTACTCGTCACCAGTACAAGCTTCAGGGTGCCCCGTTGCAATACGGCCTTTTAAGTCGCTCGGTGCCATCTCAATCGTTGTTATTGTGAAGAAAAATAGGTGGACATCATGCTGTGCATCTACCACAGGCTAGTGGATGACCTGAGTTAGCTCATGTTCTACCCCGTGCCTCTGAATTAAGAATTATTGAAAGACCTGAAAAGGAAATTATGGTATTGATCACCGGACGTGACGAGTGGTTTTTGGGCAGTTGATACGACTGAAAGGGCGAGACGAATTTCAGCGTTCATCACCCCACTGGATTTGTTTGAAATTATGCGGATGCCATTTGGGATAAAAAGGCGCCTTAAATGTATCAGAGACCCTTGGACAATGCTTTATATGCTTTTGCGAATTCTTCTAGGAGAAGAGACAAACGGGTAGGATGATTTGTTTAAGGTGGGAGAGCCAGAAGAGCAGTAGATTTACTTAACCCTGGGTTGGTGATCGTATATTGATGACATTCTGATCTCCACCGAATCATAAGATGCGTTGTGCACAAAGGTGGAACGGCTGTTGGATGGGTGTGACTGCTGGGATTTGTCTACCTGCGCAATCGAGGCTCGTGGAGGTGTCGGAAGGTCAACTACCTTGGACGTCGATTGTCTAGTAGAGGACTGGAGATCCACCAGAAGGAACTTCAATCTCCAGTCGACCCACCCTTGCCAATGACACCGAAGGTCATCCATTTTTCTGGAAATCTTTGAATTACTATTGCAGGTTTATCGAGGACTATACCGCGTATTCGTCCATTCTTTACGAACTGAGAGAGGTGTAATGGTCAGTCAATACGAAGAATCGTTGTCTGTCCCTTTTTTTTTCTTGGTGTATTTTTGCACAATCATTTTTTAAGTTGTACGACTGTTCCAGACACTAACCTTTTTATAGTCACTGTACATCCATGGCCAAGAGCCCAACATTAAGCTCCAGATAGCAGATTCTCACGTCTATCATATTAGTTCTCTGTAGGATAATTAATGAATGTCGTGTGCACATATTCTGTCAGTGATCTCAGAGGTTTGTTATACAGTATATTCATGAATTAAGGTGTAGTATTATTACGTAGACTTGATATTCATTTTAGCAAAAATGAAATATATTCGTATGTAATATTGTCCAATCAAAGTATTTGTTCAGTGTCTACTTAGCGAAAGAAAAAGGGAGTGAATTTAACCTAAAATAAGGTGAATCGAACAATACCTTAATAAAGATTGCTTATTCACTGCGAAAATATTACAAACGTCGCAGTTAAGGTCAACTTCCATGTACGGCGAAGCTAGTTGAAGAAAGATGACCACACCACTGCTAAGGATGAAAACGGAAGAAATGTGGACCCGCGTTCAGGTGGCTTTGGTTATGCTTAAGAATAAGATTGCCACGACGCCAACTCTAGGACACTTCAACCCGACCAGAGAAGCCGTGATTATTGTCCACGCGAGTAAATGGGAAATTTCCGCGTCACCGGTACAGGATTAAGAAGGACTGCTGGTGCCAGTTATTTGTACAAGCCGAACGCTAAAGGCTAATGAGCTGAATTACAGTAATGTGGAGAATTAAAGTTAGCCTTGCTAATTATACTGGAGACCTGTTTCATCACGTTGGTCACCCGACTCCTCAAAGTCTTGACAATACACTCGACATTAGTGTGGTTAGTTAAAATCTGCCAGCTTGCAAGGACGATTGGAAACTGGGTCGCTCTCTTGTCGCAGCGGAATTTGGAGATCGTTAAGTGTAAAAAGGTAAAGACCAGGTGGTTTTGGCAGCCTTCGAGATAGCAAAGACTCAAAAACGTCTGCTATTGCCCCTAAGAAGCAGGTGAGGCAGACGATAGATCCACCTATCCCCGCGTGAAACCAGACGAAGACCGTACGTAATGGGTTTCAAAGGGTCGGCTCGTCTTAAGCAAGGATGTGGGGATTTCAGCGCTATCGCATGGAGACTCCATGCGATAGCTTTTTCAGCAAGTTAAATCCCAGCAACATACCCTCATATTCCGCTCATTTACCATAGATGTATCCAGATATTTGTAGGCAGCTTCGAATAATTCCATGCTATACTCTCCATGCCATACTCTCCATGCCATATTCTCCATGCCATATTCGAAGCTGCCTACAAATATCTGGATACATCTATGGTAAATGAGCGGAATATGAGGGTATGTTGCTGGGATTTAACTTGCTGAAAGCTATCGCATGGAGTCTCCATGCGATAGCGCTGAAATCCCCACATCCTTGCTTAAGACGAGCCGACCCTTTGAAACCCATTACGTACGGTCTTCGTCTGGTTTCACGCGGGGATAGGTGGATCTATCGTCTGCCTCACCTGCTTCTTAGGGGCAATAGCAGACGTTTTTGAGTCTTTGCTATCTCGAAGGCTGCCAAAACCACCTGGTCTTTACCTTTTACACTTAACGATCTCCAAATTCCGCTGCGACAAGAGAGCGACCCAGTTTCCAATCGTCCTTGCAAGCTGGCAGATTTTAACTAACCACACTAATGTCGAGTGTATTGTCAAGACTTTGAGGAGTCGGGTGACCAACGTGATGAAACAGGTCTCCAGTATAATTAGCAAGGCTAACTTTAATTCTCCACATTACTGTAATTCAGCTCATTAGCCTTTAGCGTTCGGCTTGTACAAATAACTGGCACCAGCAGTCCTTCTTAATCCTGTACCGGTGACGCGGAAATTTCCCATTTACTCGCGTGGACAATAATCACGGCTTCTCTGGTCGGGTTGAAGTGTCCTAGAGTTGGCGTCGTGGCAATCTTATTCTTAAGCATAACCAAAGCCACCTGAACGCGGGTCCACATTTCTTCCGTTTTCATCCTTAGCAGTGGTGTGGTCATCTTTCTTCAACTAGCTTCGCCGTACATGGAAGTTGACCTTAACTGCGACGTTTGTAATATTTTCGCAGTGAATAAGCAATCTTTATTAAGGTATTGTTCGATTCACCTTATTTTAGGTTAAATTCACTCCCTTTTTCTTTCGCTAAGTAGACACTGAACAAATACTTTGATTGGACAATATTACATACGAATATATTTCATTTTTGCTAAAATGAATATCAAGTCTACGTAATAATACTACACCTTAATTCATGAATATACTGTATAACAAACCTCTGAGATCACTGACAGAATATGTGCACACGACATTCATTAATTATCCTACAGAGAACTAATATGATAGACGTGAGAATCTGCTATCTGGAGCTTAATGTTGGGCTCTTGGCCATGGATGTACAGTGACTATAAAAAGGTTAGTGTCTGGAACAGTCGTACAACTTAAAAATGATTGTGCAAAAATACACCAAGAAAAAAAAAGGGACAGACAACGATTCTTCGTATTGACTGACCATTACACCTCTCTCAGTTCGTAAAGAATGGACGAATACGCGGTATAGTCCTCGATAAACCTGCAATAGTAATTCAAAGATTTCCAGAAAAATGGATGACCTTCGGTGTCATTGGCAAGGGTGGGTCGACTGGAGATTGAAGTTCCTTCTGGTGGATCTCCAGTCCTCTACTAGACAATCGACGTCCAAGGTAGTTGACCTTCCGACACCTCCACGAGCTCTCGATTGCGCAGGTAGACAAATCCCAGCAGTCACACCCATCCAACAGCCGTTCCACCTTTGTGCACAACGCATCTTATGATTCGGTGGAGATCAGAATGTCATCAATATACGATCACCAACCCAGGGTTAAGTAAATCTACTGCTCTTCTGGCTCTCCCACCTTAAACAAATCATCCTACCCGTTTGTCTCTTCTCCTAGAAGAATTCGCAAAAGCATATAAAGCATTGTCCAAGGGTCTCTGATACATTTAAGGCGCCTTTTTATCCCAAATGGCATCCGCATAATTTCAAACAAATCCAGTGGGGTGATGAACGCTGAAATTCGTCTCGCCCTTTCAGTCGTATCAACTGCCCAAAAACCACTCGTCACGTCCGGTGATCAATACCATAATTTCCTTTTCAGGTCTTTCAATAATTCTTAATTCAGAGGCACGGGGTAGAACATGAGCTAACTCAGGTCATCCACTAGCCTGTGGTAGATGCACAGCATGATGTCCACCTATTTTTCTTCACAATAACAACGATTGAGATGGCACCGAGCGACTTAAAAGGCCGTATTGCAACGGGGCACCCTGAAGCTTGTACTGGTGACAGTACAAGCTACTTATTCTGATGACAGAATAAAGCGGTGCCTGTAATCATTCACGTACACTCGTACGTGCAGAGGAAGACGGTAAGAAGAAGCGAGTACTTGGTTAAAGTAAAAGTAGAACTGTATTTAGTATAGTTAATGTCTGCAATAAATCACTATTTATCTTCATCTAACTATGTCTAAATACAGATGTGTAAATCAGTTATCTGCTCACCACTCATTGCGTGCGTCTGTCGTGGCGCGTCTTCGTTGGTTGATATAATGGCCTATATCAACCAATTAGGAACTACTCGTAAGTGCTACAGAATATTTGTCCTTATGACAATATTCTGAGAATATAACTCTTATAGTTATATTCTATTAACAATTTCTTATAAATTGTTATGTTTTGATTCACCCCGTTACATCACCCCCCCCCCTTAACCATCAGTCACTTTAGTGACTGATTGACTAAATGAATACTCGTCCCAAATCATTTGGGACAGGGTTTGCACTTGTTGGTCCGAGTCCACTTTCCAACAGTTCATCGCGTGGTTTACAAGCTCATGCGGTGCGCGAGCAAGGCCGCCGAGAGCGCGTCCGCACGTCTCTGTGCGGACGCCGAAGCAGAAACCACAGCAACTGATGTCTCATCGGTTGCTGAAGCGACCCAGTTTGTGTCACTTGGTGATGCAGGCGCTGGTCATGAAGACACTCATGTCTTCACAGAGTATGAGCTCGGAATCTCATACTCTCCTGATACGGAAGACGGATCCGTATCCAAGGCGGTTGAAACCACGCCGCCTGCCAAGCGTGGCAAAATATCGCAAGACTCGGGCGCTCACAGTGGTGTCGGTTCTCCTATGGACACCACTTCGCAAAGAGGTGCCAGTCCTTCTGTCGGCACGTCACAAAAAGAGCGGGGCCGCAACGTGTTGCGTCTCGCTTCTGAGAAGAAGGCATGGATGCCTCCCAAATCTGTCATGGATCACCTGTCGGCGACGACGAGTAATCGTTATCGAACACGATTGTTCGATTCGTCAAGGATCCATCACCTTGACCCCAGCGCGAAAAACTATCGCGCTGAGAATGATTTCTTCATTGATGCTTTCTTTAGACATCGATGGTATAGTGAGAATCACAAGCGTGATGGTCCCTCACTGCTTCAAGCGTGGAACGCCTACATCCATAACCTTGAGGATGTAGGTCGTGACGTTTGGAACGACAAACTTATCAAAGCTCGTGATAAGTTTGGAAAGCGAACCCCGAAAGGTGCACGCTACAAGCTGCATCGTCTGTCTATGGAGGGTGGGTTACCCTGTCTCTCTTGGGGAGACTCGTGCCCGTGTTGTGTGAACAACTCAGCACGAGCACCTAAGGAGGCTTACCTCCTTACCAGCCCGTGGTGGCGCGTACGTATCTCTAGTGAGATGTACGAAGGGATTGACAACCTGAAATCCCTTTACGACCGTGCCGGGAAGACTTTCTCCGGCGGTCCTTCTGCGGCACAGGATGTGCCGCGTCGTACTGCTCAACCAGACCCAGTACGTCAACCATCAGTTGGGAGCGGGGCTCCCAAGTATCCCAGGACGGGGGATAGTCGCGCCACCGGACGAGATAACTCGTCCGACGTCCGTTCACGTCGCGGTGGTTCAACAGCTGCTCAACTAGATAGCGCTGGCCACCGCGAGAGTCCTCTAATGGAGGTGGAGGAGGAGGAAAGACGCTCTCCACACGATCATGGGGATCCGTGTGTTCCCGAGAGCTTTCTTTGATCGCGTAACGCAAGGGTTACGCAACGATCTCGAGCATGGGCGGGACAGGCGTCTCCAAATGGGAGACACTGTCTCGAAGCATCGAGCTGAGTTTGCCTTTGCTCAGCTTGAGAACGAGAGATCTCTGACATCTCTTCGTGACGAGCTAAGGGTAGCTCGTGGGATTGTTGATCGGTCTCGGGCTGAGATAACTGCTCTTCAGACCCTTGTCGATGCCCACCATCGGGAGCACAAGGCTCTCTGCGAGATGCTTGAGCGCAAGGGCGTTCTTCATCGGAAGAAACAGCGTACTGATGGTACGGCTTAAGCCGACCAACGTAAAACGTGGGATGCGTTCGCATCTTAAGTGGCTATTCGATCGTGTATGCATTGCCTAGGCGGTGCAGTACACGAAATGGACCGATGTACTTGGGTAGTAGTTTACTGCTACCCAAGATAGTCACTACATGCTTTGGTAGATTAACCGTAGACAGTAGGACTAAGTCACCTTTATTAAATAAAAGAGTGTTTGCCCTTCCATTCTTGTCAGCGTTTTGCTTTTGCTTGACCACCGCTTCGGCGATGGAGTCTTGCACAAAACGGACTACCGTTTCACGAGCCAGTATAAACTCATCTGATGACTCGTTAGCTTCAGTGCGCTGTGAGCGCACTGCAGCAACATTAACATTTTCTTCAGTGAGGGCTTCCGCACTCTCACTGGCATCATCTTCTTCGATATCGATGTTATCGATATCAGCATCAAACGCAATGAACTCTTCGTCAGAGCGTGATGAGCGTGAACCAAATCGTTTTTTGCTCGCGCGAGTCCCTCCCCCCCTTAAACCAGAGTTACACTCTAGTAAGGTGGGTACACGCGGATGGCGCAAGCCATTCACGTAAAACGGTGTATGTGTCGTGGACGCATGCACCGAGTTGTTAATGGCAAACTCTACCATTGGCAAAAACTCACTCCAACTCTTAAAGGAGTGTACGTATCCTCGAAGGATCTCTTCAAGGACACGATTGGCACGTTCCGTCTGACCATCTGTCTCTGGATGATCAGATGTCGACATCTTCAAGCGCGTTCCGAGTGATTTGAACACGGAACGCCAGAAATCAGCAGTGAAGCGCGGATCTCTGTCTGATACGAGTTCACGGGGTAACCCATGAAGTCGGAAGATGGTGTCAATAAAGACACAAGCACAGCCACTTGCCGTGATTGTCTCTGGTACAGCCACAAGGTGTACCATTTTGCTGAATCTGTCAACAAATACGAGAATACCCGTATTCCCGCGTGCGTCTTTGGGTAACCCGAAGACGAAATCCATTGAGATGGATTCCCAGCACTCAGCCGGAACCGGTAGAGGCTGTAAAGGTGCACGCAGTGAAGGACTTGACTTCACTCGTTGGCAGACTTCGCATGCGCGAACGTACTTTCGCACAAACTGATGCTGGCGGGGCCAGTAAAAGTCTCGACTCACCGTGAGATACGTTTTCTCCCGGCCACGATGTCCTCCTATAGGAGCATCGTGATACTCGAACATGATCCGCAAACGCAGATCAGTATCATCTGGAATGACGACACGTGGTGTATCATCAGTAACGGCTGTATAATACAGTAAACCGTTGCGAGTAGTGTATCGATCTGATGCAGATCGATACGCAGACGATAATCGTTTCAACGATTCTCGAGATGGTTGGGAGAGATGTGTCAACAACTTCACAATCTCACTTTCTTGGGCGTATGCCCGCCTCACATCATCATATAACGTTGAAGATGGTACTGAGGACGTCATAACCGCAACAGTTGCTGTCTCACTGTTGGGTTTCACGACTGGTTCAAAGTCGGGACGACGTGAGAGTGCATCAGCGACGACATTAAGTCGTCCTGGTTTGTACTCGACCGTAAAGTTGTATTCTGCAAAGAATGAAAACCACCGCGCCATTCGTTGTGAAAGGTGCGGGCTGTTCACTGCCGTGCGTAAGGACGCATGGTCAGTGTAAACACTGAAGGGTCTATCTCCTAATAGATAGACTCTGAACTTAGCGAGTGCATACTTCATGGCAAGGAGTTCCTTGTCATGCACTGGATAGTTCCGCTCAGCTGGTTGCAGCTGACGCGACTGATAGCAGACGACGCGTTCAACGTTTTCTAGGTCTTACTGCATTAATGCACAGCCGATTGCAAAATCGCTGGCATCACAGACCACATGAAATGGCCTGTCCTGATCGGCTATTGCTAGGACTGGGGATTGTATCAAGCTCTGCTTGATACCATCAAAGGAGCGCTGACATTCAGCGTTCCATAACCACCTCTCGCTCTTTTTCAACAAACGAGAGAGGTGTACAGTCAGCTCGGCGTAATTGCGTGAATGCTTATGCAAATACGCCGCTAGCCCAAGGAATTTTCGAAGACCTTTGACATCAACCGGCACAGGCCAGTCAGTGATCCCCTTGATCTTTTCGGGATCCGGACGTACACCGTTCCTACCAACGATGCACCCAAGAAGTGGTATTTCGCTTGCTGCAAATATACACTTCTTGAGGTTTGCATACAATTGATGCTTTCGCATGATTGTAAGAACCTGTCGGACGCGGTACCTGTGAACCTCAACGTCCGACTTTCCATCCATAGCTCGACTATGGATGAATACGTCATCGAAATAACTCGGCGCGAATTCTCGTACTGGTCTCAACAGATGTGATACACATCTGTTGAACGTGGCAGGGGCATTACTAAGCCCTTGTGGCATTACTAGCCATTCTCAGAGCATACCGCTAGGCGTGCTAACTGCGGTATAGGGTATATCCCGTTCCCGCATAAGGATTTGATAGAAGCCATCCATCAAATCCATGGATGAAAAGATGGTACTCTTTGACATACCATCAATGATTACGTCCTTCCTCGGTATCGGCGTCTGAGCAGGTACCGTTGCAGCGTTCAATTTGTTAAATGCATGCACTATCCGCCATCCTCCTGTTGCTTTTCGCACACAGAAGGTCGGAGAGCTATGTGGGGAAGTTGATTCCCTCACATGGCCCACAGCTAAACGATCGGCAAAGAACTTGTCGATCGCAAGTACTTGTTCACGAGGCAGTGGCCACTGCTTCATGACACAGTACTTCGAGCCTGGTTTAAGCTCGACCTCGTGTCGAATACCTTTATCCTTCGGTAATTCGCACGGAACAGTTTCAGGGAATACATCCTTGAATTCAACCAAATCTTCATAGAGAGGATTTGTCTTGAGCGATTCCCATGATTGAGAGTCATATCGCTCAATTCGTGTCTTTTCATCTAGGACACTCTCGTCCATAGATGAACTACTGAGAACTCTCTCGTTCTCAGTAAACACTGTTGCTGACCTTATGTCGGTTACACACTCGTCGTCAGCGACGAGTACGCAGATCGGCTTGAATTTGCCACTACGCAGATCACGCAAGAACCTTTTATGTTCGAGCGTTGGCAACTGAGTGATCTCCGAAGTCAACTTCGGAGGCGCAATCAGATCAACTGTATAAGCACCTACACTTGATCCGTTATTGACTATGACATTCAATGTCTCTGTCATTTCCTGGGGACTTATTCCCTCAGGCTTCGAAGGACTTATTCCTTCGGTTTCCCGGGGACTTATTACCTCGGGTTTCGGGGAACTTATTTCCGCCGTATTTGTAATCTTGGGACTTATTCCCTTGACTTCCTCTAGCTGGGGTTGCGCAACCACAGCGAGATCCTCTACGAAAGACTCTCCAGTCGATCTAGGATTATCGTTTCGCTTAGCCTGAGCGATCGATTGTTTCTCTTCTAGATGTTCCCCGCTAGGGATACATCTTTGTCCCAGTCCACCCGACTTATTCGAGTGGTGGACCTTCGGCGCAGCCTGTGTTTCCTCACAGCCGCCGGAACTTTGCTCCTAAGTGTAACCGTTTGGTACACTAAGGTTTCGTGCAGTCATACTAACGACCGTACCACAAGTGAGGCCATCGCACTCACTCGTAGTACATCCACACGCTTGTGGACGCTCCAAAACGTTCATCAGATGGCCATCTGATGAATAAGAGGCAGGCATCGTTACTGTTCGATGTTGCCAGTTTACCCGTGAATCGTACCTTCTGAGCCACGGTATTCCAAGGATGACATCAAATTTGTCATCCAAATCCAATACGATAAAGTCATCGTCATATTGGGCATCTTCTAGCGTATAGTGGATCTTCACTATACGCTTCATGACGGTTACGGATGCGCCTGTCGCAAGACGTACCGTCATCCTCGTAGGAGGTATGTCACATTCACTGAACTTAAAGTGACCATCTTCTAGCGATTGGCGTTGCACAAAATTGTTGGACGCCCCACAATCGACTAGAGCTCGAAGGGACAACTTATTTGTCACTTCGAGTTTCAAGGTAATGAGTGAGACCTCATTACCTAGAGCAGCAACGCACAACGTATGTGTGTTGGGATCAACCTTCGTCAAGAGGCCTACAAATTTTCTTGACGTTGCTGGACCAGTAGGGTGCTTCGCACCTACTGATCCTGTCCGTTTTTTTTACTGTCCATCCCGTTGTTGCGTCTTTGCACCAACAGCGGACCCGCGTCCCTGCCCCTTTCTCACGGGTGGACGGTCACTACGCCCAGTGTTGCGAGACACTGGACGAGGGGCACTACACTCGTAAGCGTAGTGTCCTGTCTTTTGACATCTGTTGCATCTCTGCAACTTCTTGTAGTCTGTAGAGCGAGCCCTCTCGCTCTCTACATAACAGAGTTCCATCGGCTCTGGACCTCCGCTGTCATATCGTCTCGGTTGAAGATATGATGTCGAGCTGGCGCGAGCTTGTCTTAAACTGAAGTCTTCCTGCTCCGCAATGGAAATGGCTTGTTCTAGTGAATCTAGTTCAAGCCGGAACAGGTGAGTCTTGACGGGACCATCCGCAAGACCCTGCACGAACACCGAAACCAACGTGTGTTCATCCACCGAATTGGAACTTATACAACTCGTAAGATGTCGTATATGTTGCGCGTAAGCGTACACGTCACGCTTACCCTGCTTGAGCTTCAAGAGTTTGGTTCGAGCTCTGAACTCAGCTCTAGGCGGTTCAAACGTTTGTCTGAGCCGCGACTTGAAGACTTCCAACGACCCAAGCGCATATGGGTCGTGCAACTTGAGCCCCAGTGCCCAAGTCTTGGCACGTCCTGCCAGATTTGACTGGGCAAATGCAACTTGCATATCCCCGTCGTCGATGCGACGCGCCCTTATGGCGTCATCCAATTCGACGAACCATCTCAAGAGGGAGTCCTCTTCGACTCCCCTTTACTTGGAGATGTCAATCTTCAAGGTCTCGGGTCGACGCGAGTGCATCGACCCACCAGCAGCAGCCTGCTGCTGTCTCAACAGTTCAAACTGTTGAGCACCCTGTTCTCTCAACAACTCTGCTTGTTGAGAACCTTGTTGGTGAAGCAAGGCTACTTTCTCGCGTTCAGCGTCAAGTTCATTTTGAATGAACTTGGCGATAGTAGCATGTTGGGCATCTCTATTGAGAGCCTCTAGCATGACGCTAACAGCATGGATGCCCGTGGTCGAACCCATTCGTTCAACCGCATCCCATTAGACATCGCTCAAATGGGAGTAGCCGTCACGCGTAGCGTGAAAGCTTTGGTCATCTTCACCATCCAACATATTCATGTTGGATGTGAACGTGGTCCTTAAACGGACTACGAAGTGCTACCAGGTGTAACGGGGCACCCTAAAGCTTGTACTGGTGACAGTACAAGCTACTTATTCTGATGACAGAATAAGGCGGTGCCTTGTAACTTCACGTACACTCGTACGTGCAGAGGAAGACGGTAAGAAGAAGCGAGTACTTGGTTAAAGTAAAAAGTAGAACTGTATTTAGTATAGTTAATGTCTGCAATAAATCACTATTTATCTTCATCTAACTATGTCTAAATACAGATGTGTAAATCAATTATCTGCTCACCACTCATTGCGTGCGTCTGTCGTGGCGCGTCTTCGTTGGTTGATATAATGGCCTATATCAACCAATTAGGAACTACTCGTAAGTGCTACAGAATATTTGTCCTTATGACAATATTCTGAGAATATAACTCTTATAGTTATATTCTATTAACAATATCTTATAGATTGTTATGTAACGATTCACCCCGTTACACGTATAATCTTCGCAGGTAACGGCTCCCTGATTACTTTGGCCAACTTCGCCTTAAATTGGACGGGCCACTTCTTGTAATCGTTGCACGATCGGCCGGTGCATTCCCTACATCAATGTTACATATAGCTCTCGGACGGCTGGCGGTACGACATTCTTCTTCCCTATCAACAGATGTCGTCTCTTCCAGATGAGTTGTCGTAGCCGGTACAACTCTACCGGAGTGTTTCTATCTTGATCAGAGATATGCATGTCTTCCAACCGAATATACTCAGAGTATGGGTCCACTTCCATTAAGATTGCCCATCCTCGGTTTATGCCTTCGTCCCGAAGGTCTCCACTTTCGAACGTACACACTTTTGCATCTTCACGTGGCAATTCGTTGGACCCGGCTTCCTCTTCGCCGAATGCGATCTCTACTGGTGGATAGTCGTTGGGATCACTTCGTTCTTGAGATCTTTCTTTTTGCAGAGGCACTCTACTTCGTGTAACTGTTCTTCTCTCTTTGGTAGCATTTGGTGTGACGCATTCATCATTGATACTGGGGTCTTCGAACGATACTAAATATTCGACGGGGTCTTATACTGAGGTTTATCCACCTGTAGTGTCTCTTCTCCCTCCTCGAGGTCAACTTGGGGTCGACCTGGTCGGTGGTGGCTACGCCAGATCCAGTCACACAGCATATCTTTGAGAGCTCACCGGAACGAAACCTTGCGCGATTACTACTGGATCCTTCATCATCCACATACCTTTCTAGGTAATATTAACGTGTGAGGATTGAAGTTGGTCACCTTCATTGATTATCGGCGCCCTATTCCCCGGTTCATAGTTATAGCCAATCGCGCTCCTCGTGTGACCCATATCTTTCATTGCTCTGAAGTAGAGTTTTTAAGAGGTGTCTCCACCTACCCACCATCAAGTAAACGGGCATATTGTCCCAACTTCACGTCTTGTACTCGGTTACCATAGACGGTCGTCCGTTCGGAGAGTTGTAGTGTGTGGTAAAGTCACTAATCAATTTTTGGGACGTGGATCGGTGACCACCCAGTGGAAACGCCACTAACTGGAGAAAACAACAACGGGCGATCTTGCGATCCAATTGGAGATGGAAGGCTATCTAAAAGAGGGTCAACGAGACAATCTGATTGCCACTACGATGACAGATACGGGGCGATATCTGAGACTAGGCGACAAACCAGAATAACTTCTATGGACCGATCTGGGACAAGGCGACAAACAGAAGGATTTTCATGGAACGATCCGAGACGAAGCGCAGAAAAAGACGCTTTTCGTGATTTAATCTGGGACAAGGAAGTGGGACGAAGTCATGAAAGTTGGTCGAGGATAAGGATACGCATAATAAGGCAGGTGAAGACTGGATCGCAAATCTATATGCGAAAGTCTTGTGATTGACGGACATTGGAACGTCGGATTAACTGGACATGGCAACGGTCGTGAATATTGTGGCCAACTTACTCTGTAAAGGTGTATCTGGGACCAGGTGATATGGTGTAATTCTGCGAAGGAAGTGCAGCCCCATGCGGACAGGTGATACTCTTTACCGATCCGATAGTGGGAGTACTGATTTCGGTTAATTATACACCGATCTGGAAGTCTTGCATACTCATCGGGGTAAAGGAGCCGATGTTGAGATTTGCGATTGAAGTTATCGATTGGATAACACTGGAGGATGATATTGAAGCACTTACGAGGAGATGAAAAAGTGTTAATCGTCGATCTAGACCAGATCGACCTCCAACATCTCGATATTGGACGACAGATCGATCATAGTCCGCGCTGACCATGGATATAAGGTTGATAAAGATACGGGATCATGTGAAATATATACTTGATGGATGTCCATAAGTGATGTCAAGAACTTTTAGACCGAAAGAGCCCGTGGAAGCCGTCCGAATCGACGTCATAAAGTGGATTTGGACACATTTGGCAATTTGGGTCCTATATTGGGTACTTTGGCGCTAAAAACGAGTATTTGGTACCATATTTGAGATTTAGATACATTTGTTGTTCTAGGTACGATATCGGGAATACTGGCGCTATCATTGGAGTACAGGGCACAAAATCTCGACACGTGGCAAGGGGGCGATCCAGGCTCAAGATGATATCGGTTTGGAGAGTGACCCATAGTTAAGAATAGCCTCAAGGGTAGGTTGGATAGTAATTTGGTTGGTTAATAAACAGAATTGAACTCTACTACTTCCACACTCTCCACGCGTCCTCCCTTTTCCGGGTAAGATACCTTTGGCTTTTCGACGGCTCAAGGTACGTGTGCTCAAGGATATTGAAGACCGACCTTGGATTGTTGGCCAAGATCGACATGAGCGATCTCGGGGAATTCGGCCCAGATCGATCAAGATCTCACACACTCAACTCACTGCTAGTGTAGCAGCAACACGGTAAAGGCCTTTGGTTACAAGATCGCTAGACGGCTCAAGCGGTTAGAAGATCTGAACAAGGCGTTCAAGACAAGACCGAGCGATATCGACGCGATCCACACGGCAGATCGGCACATTTTAATTTGGCGAAAATCAAGACTTATCTGCCCACACTGCGCACTTCTGACCAGATCGGACCGATCTGAAGGCAAGATCGACGCAGACTCATAACAATCGCTGAGTGAAGATTCCCACGCAGTGAAGACCCCGGTCCCGAATTCAAGATCGAGATTGGTGCGATCCGAGATCGAGATTACTACCTCTCTGAATAAGAGATCGCGGCGACCCAAGATCAAGGTTGCAGAACCAGTTCGTGCTGTGAAGATTTCCTCACCGAAAGCTAACTCTCAACCTAACCACCAGCGAGATCGACATCTCCCAAGGCCATTACGAAGAGCTCAAGCCAGTCCAACCGACGGGTACACAAGGTGAGCACATGGTTATACTACAAGGCACGGATCGGAGTACCCCCTCCGTGAGTCGTCAAGTCTGGGCAAGTGGAATATCGCGTTTCACATAAGCAATTTTGTGAGATGGACTTCACCACACGAACTTCTTCAGGGAGACATAGTGTTACATAATCCAGGTCTATCCGGATACCATCCAGAACCATGAACTCCATATCTAAGATCGCATCCTGACCCTCGATAGAGCCTCCCTACGCCTTTAAAACGTGCACTACATGTCCATTATAAATTGACCTTAATGAGAGTGCGCCCTTCCGTAGAGTACACCGTTTTCTCAATTTCAATGCACTCTTGTCGTTTGCTTTCGTCAATTTGGCAGCCTACCTTACGAACAAAGGCGACATCCAAAATGGATATTTCGGCGCTGGTATCGAACAAAAAATTGTAGCGTTTATCTTCCCAGATGATTTGGCTTGTTTTTACCATTAGTTGAGGTATGGTATTTCCAGTATCCTCCAGATTTACCAGACAATAGTTCAACTCTATCACTGCATTTCCTCGGGCAAAATCGTTAGGTAATTAAAAAAGACAACACTAACCATAAGGCATTTTCCTATTTTCGATATTTATCGATCTGGTCAGTGGAAAAACCCCTCTTCTCGTTGGGCTGCTTTCCACACAAAAAAGATAAAAATGCTAGAACGCTCAACTCTTAACAGATTCAAACCTGGCGAGCGTTCTAATATGTCGTCTTTCAGCTTTCTCCAGTAAAGTTTTTTCGTGCTCGATGGGGCTGAACCATTGACAAATCAAATTGTAGAAGCTTACTAGCTGGCATTTCCCCGCTCCATAAGTCTCTCCGTATCCCCGAAACAAAAACAAGAAGCGATCTGATGGGTTCCCCTTCTTTCCGCAGCGGTCACATTCCATTATCTTCCAGCATCTTAAGTATCCACGTTTCATGGACCCAAAGTGGTCATATCTCACGTTTGAATCGGCCAAAGCATTGCGGATTCTAGGGTCTTCTGCTTGTTACCGATGCTGGTCGACCTCTCTGGTGTATCGGTCGCTCATGGCTCTTTATTATGGTCTCTTTCCGCTTCCTCTAGGTAGACTAGCCTCAGGTCTCCTTAGTTATCCAAATTATCTAGGCTGTATCCCTCCAAACCCTACTCATCTAGTGTCGCTCAGAATGCATACCTAAAACGACGGTCTACATCTATAGGTCGATCCGGATGAGCTGGCATCTTTTGCAGGATTTTGCTGGCACCAAACAGTGTCTTGCCATACCGTGCCTTCATCTTCTGGAGCGCCTTCAACGCTTCCGCCAATTCTTCCACATCTTCTGGACGTAGCACTGTCAATTGGTCTGCCAACTATGGGTCGTCCACGGTCTCGATGTAGTACTCGACATATTTCTACTGAATCTTGGACGATTCATTCTTAATCTTCAGCTCCTCCCTGAGAGCGATCACGCTCGCGCGTTACAAATAGTCCGACGGGGAGTCATCTGAACTCTCTTTGCGTGGTAGTACTGGCACGCTACTGGTGCCCCAG